TATCATGTGAGTAAAACAAAGTCCAAGAGCTAATAACAAAAAACTAACACAGGTTACTCGTCATGAACAGGGATAATTTGAGAATTCTGCGATAGCTAGTAAACATACACCGGATCACAAACTGTTATCAACCAGATGTGCTCTCACTGCGAGGGTCCAGGGGTATTTTCACGATGGCATCTACCAGTCCAGTAGTTGGAGGGAGAAGGTAAAGGAGGAGGGATCAGAGAAGGAAGGAAGGAAAAGAAGGAAAAGAAGGAAGGAGGAAAAAATGAAAGATAGGAGAGGCTTCCCGGTTGAAAAGTGCCCTGAGACGGTCGGTGTGGGTCCGCAAGCGCATTACGTATAGCACCCTACTTTACACCTGAACACTACTGTGAGTCGTTTGCTCCCTACTGAACAATCGTTCCTGTGGAACCCCCAACTTACAGCCGCGTCACAACCGCTTACTGTTCGGCAAGATGGACTCTGTCATCAAGTTCCCCCACTATGGAAGTTCCATCCCGAAATTTCCTTGACGTTTTGGAGGCCAACCGAAGAATGGCACTGGGCTTCTAAAAATGAGGTGTCGCACCATCCAAGCAAATAGGGACGAGTCGACAGAAGCAGACACAAGAAAGGCTAGATCGTGGAAGGGGAAAAAGTGCATTAGCGTGTCCAGACTAAGTAGCAGGCAACATGAAAAAACATGACATTAACAAAATGCAGAGATAGGGAAATGAAGAAAACGAGTGAGCTAAACGTGTAAGACGCACGGAAGTAGAAGTCACGGGAGACCCAACGCCTGCACTCCCAGCACCCACATATCGATTGTGACGTCATTGCATGCGTTCCCACGATACTCTTCACTCAGCACTGCTCTTGAACGCGTGTTTCGTTATCATCCGTAGAACTTTTCTGGCGCAACAATTCTATACGTTTGTGTGATGTGAGAAAAAACAGGCGAAGTAACGATCATCCTTTGCGGTCAAGTACCTCAACTGCGACATGTGATAGGTCACCAGTTAAAAAGGCTTTAGGAAGATAAGGTTCCGAGATCACGAGTTCTTTCGTGTGTCATAGCACTATCACACGAAAGGAGGAACACGATCCGGACATGCTCTCCCTGCGAGCGTCCAGAAGTATTTATTTGGCATCTACTGGCTCAGCAGTTGAGGGAGAAGGCAAAGGAGGGGGAAAGGAAGGAAGGTGGAACAAAAGGGAAAAGAAAGAAGGCCCCTTGACCGAAGTATCCTTTGTAACAAGGGAGATTTGGCAGGTCCGGGGATCGTAGCAACGTATAACCGAGTTGCGATTTGTGGAGCGCAGAGTTGCACTGGAACACGAGAGATGGAGCCTTGCAAGCTGTTGGTCTTGAGGAGGAAGAATTGTTGGTATGGCTCTTAGAATGAGTAGGAACTTTGTTTCTTGAGTTTTGAATGTTTCATATTGATATTTGATATTTATCATTCAGAATGAGGTTGAACTCTTGTGACTTGTATTCTAGAAATGATTTTCATCATCTTGTATGGAAAGAAATCGGCACTAACGTAGAAACGTTTGGGGGGGGGGGGTACGCGGCTCGCGGCGTGCGATGACTCATCGGCTCTTTCTGCTCCCTCCTCAGCTCAACAGAAGTAATTTCTTGTTTAGGACATGAATATAACACCGTCCTAGCTATATCTAAAAGTTAAAACAGTTAACGCTGAAAAGTGCAAAGAAGGCTGGAAGGTTCTTACACTCCTTATCCCTGAGTCAGAGTAGGCGTGGCATTTGAACATGGCACGGAACTGGTTACTCGTGGAATATTCCAGTCTGGGACAACTGTCATCTTGTTCTGTGATGGACAGAGACACGAAACCAATTGTGTCAGCATGAAAATAGCTCATCAGAAGCATAGACACCTCCTCCAGGTTAAGTTGAAAATGTTGGCGCCACGCCACCCGATCTACAGGGATTCGAGTATACTAAGCTACAAAAGATTGTTAGGCCATGTTGTTTGTTCGAGTGTTATTGTTGACTACAAAAGATCAAACACTTGTTTTCAGCTTCTGTGGGATTTCACAGCAAGTTCCCGATGAATCCTGTTTGTTTTATTCTGATTTGGCTGCTAGATTCGCACTTCAAGTATGCCGATGAGTGAAGAGCCGATGAGTCATCGCTCGCCGCGGGGTAGGTGGAAAATGGGACGGCGGTTGACCCCTCGTTAATGACTTGTCGCACCTACGATTCGAGGCATAATTAACGAGGTGCGAAGCGACCTCATTAAGCCGAGCCACGTCGCGCTAACTGCGGTTGGCCTCGGTAAGAGGAGAAGTTATTAAGCTATCCAAATTCATGGCATGAATTCATCGAAAATTTGAAAGGGTAAAAAGGTTGCTTTATATTTCAGCTATTTATTAGTTTATTATTATTTGTTATTATTACTATTACAACTATTCAAACAAAACGCAAGTGAGCCAATCGAATAAAAAATGTGTCATATAGTTTTGTTCGTAACAAATTGGGACATCTTTTTGCAGTAGGACTCTATTTGGGCACTGGATACTCCCTCCTGATAAAGCTCGTTGAATCTGAAAATAATACTTGTCTCGTTAATGGTTCCCACTGCTGGCGTAACGCAGTATAATTCCTGATCGACGAAGTGAGAAGGTGCTAGTGCGGGAGGAAATGTGCATGGTGATACAAGCCCTAGGTCATACGAAGGTGTTGGTTCTGGATAAAAATTGTGGGGCGGTGTTACATCCAAAGGTGTGGGAAGCGACGTCTGAGGAAACCCTGAAAACGGAACGCGAGCGCGAGCGAGATCAGCAAGGAATCGCAGAAATATAATAATGAAGGATTAGTACTTGAATACATGACAACACAAGGAACTTGCTCAACAACAACTCACGTGTTTGCTTTCTACCTGTTAGCTTAAGTATCTAACTCCTTCCCTCCTCGCTTGAGGTGTTGTGTTTGGCCAGAGGGCTTTCCAAGTGATAAAGAAGTCATTATCGGGATAATATGGAAGAGGCCAGAGGGTCATTACTTGAACTAACTCGCCTTTGAAAGTTTAAGCAGTTAACGCTGAAAAGTGCGAAGAAACAGTTGTAGGATGGGAGATTTTGCCTAAACTACCAACGATTGTTGCCTTTTTGATGTTGACCGTTATTCTTGACTACAAAAGATCAAACATTTGTTGTTCTCAGCTTCTGTGGGATTTCTCAGCAAGTATTCGGTGAATCTTGTTTGTTTTATTCTAATTTTGCTGCTAGATTAGCGCTCTAAGTATGTCAATGAGTGAAGAGTCGATGAGTCACTCGCCGCGAGCCGCGTGCCCCCCCCCCCCCTAATACGTTAGCACCCACGAAACTACTTCTATTTTGCTGAGGAGGGAGCAGAAGAGCAGATGAGTCCTCGCTCGCCCGCGGGGCTCCCAACTACGTTAGCGCCAGAAGAATGATGTGAGTAGTACAACAAACTCACAATACGATCGCATCTATTCCCTGGAGGGTTCTGCGACGTAGAATAAAATGTACTGTCGCCGGCTGCACACATCACGCTCAGTCACACACGCAACATAATCAAATGGCGATCAACTAATAGTAAGACTTCCGAGACTGATTTAGCTTTTCACTGCTGAGTTTTGCTTTCATTTTATTATCCGAAAGCTGTTCTTCGAGTAATCTGTTCTGCAACAACCTGCTTTGTCCTGCTGACATCAGTCTTATATTGTTTCACAACCTACTCTGTCCTCGTCTTTCTGTTGTTAGTTTGTTCAGATTTGTTGATATATCGCGTCAGCGGATTTTGCGAGTTTCAAAGAGCTGGAAGGATTTTTCGCAATGATATTAGAAATGTCTAGTTGACGATCGCGTTGATACACAAAACATCCCAGGATCCGCACGACGGCGGATATCAAAATCGAAACGAAACTGGCTGCGGAACACTTGATAGAACTCGATTGATCACTACGTTCTCTATGCAGTTTTCAGATATCACGGAAGATGCGGATTCTGCGGATTTTTCAAATCGACACTTATACCTTCCTTTTCCGCAGAGTCCGTGCGTTCTGGGCAGATCTGTCTTTCCTCTGTGTATGAAGGCGTTCAAAGGCAGTTGGCACGGTGGTTTCCCACGGCGGCCTGAAATGCTAGTTGGGGCTATGTAGTGGGGGAATGGCGAAAGAACGGAGTGAAACGGTGGAAATCCTGTGAAGAAAAAGCCTCCGTTCTCAGTGACTAAATCGATTTCGGACGAGTTTCCTGTTGGCATCCTACCGAATACCGCTACCAAAGATCGGTTGCATTATGCATACAGCATCGCGGCCGCTTCATACCAATCCCTATGCTTCATAATCTGCTCAGCAAATGAATGAATACGAGCGTCATTAACGATTGTCCTTTTGTGGGCGGGCGGGCGAGGAAGGCGTTTGGGACGGAATGTTGTTGCTCGATAGGGCTTAGTAATGGGGGGTACTCTCCTCGGAATAGGCGCCACGGAGCGCCTGTCCGAGGTCACAGAATTCTGTTAAGCCAGTCGTATAAATCCTACATTTGTATAGCGATTTATCGTGCCAACATTCCGAGATTGATCAGCTTTGTAAAGACTGAAACCGTTCAGCGTTGTGTAAAGCCGCGCTCATACATGAGGCTTTGAAAAAAATGACAACTACGCGGACGGAAAAAAGAACACAGCTAGGAAATATGTTCGCCATTGTTCGTGTCACCTGGCAGTGAATTTCAATGCAGATGGGACGATCGTTGCAAGAGGGTGCCTTGGCTAAGGCAGGAACTGAGCCCAGCTCTGCTGAGATTCACTCAAAAGCAAAGGACGTACTTCAAGAACATGCTTGAAGGTTGTCGTGCGGGTCTTAAGAATCTCGTACTGTTTGTTACCATAGAACCCGCTCCAGAGCACTTCATGGATTTCATTATTAATCGGCTGCGCAAGCAAGATCCAACCAAGTCTTCGAAACTTTCGTTTATCGTGGAGGCTGACCTTTACAATATAGTGCAGAGGTTCAATATGATACCAGGATGGAGGCGAGAGGGAATGGAGAGCGGCTTGTGGCAAAATGTGGCATGATGAGAACAACGTTGATGATGGTATCAGGTGCTTCGAATTGCCTCAAGATTCTAGTGGCAGAGGTTTCCTGCTAGGTGAGAACAAGTAGCAAATTAGCACCAAAAACTGCAAGCAGTTTTTTCAATTCAGTGATAACACCATTGATGCGGGCTGGATCCGAAAGTACTCTGGGAAAGGGGTGGTTCTTGTAAAGAATACTTTAGCTTTCTTACCAAGTGGCACCATGACCACGGCAGACGTAGAGAGGCTGTTTTTGGGAGTCAGGCATATAATGCCCACATTTGCTCCTAAAAGGATTGTGACGGACGGGGCCCCTTGCTTTTATAACGGGTTCAAGGCAGTTTTTCCGCACGCATACACTCGACTGCACCTGTGTCGATTCCACATAATCCAGACATGGGAAAGGAAAACTAAGGAAATGGTGGAGGTTGGGGAGGAAAACATCCAAGTGCAATATCACAAAAGACCGTAAAATTTAGGCGCCCTCGCGTTCTACTGTGAATGATTCACACCGCCGTTCACTGCTGGTTGTGCAATTGGACGAGTTCATGAAGCGGTTCGCAGATATTCTTGCTTATCTGCACGGAATGAACCAGAGGACCATGGCCAAATACCTCGAAGAAATTATTTAGGTAGCTGTGAAATTATATAGTGATCATTCTTCACTGGTGACCGTTACAGGGGAGGGCAGGTGGCACGTGCTGAAGAGAGCGCGGACAAAAACCTTTGAAGTATCATTCGACGGCCCTTGCTCTTGTGATCCAGCGGTAACTCCACTATTTCTCATGTGAAAACTAAGCTGCTGATGCCGAGTGACAATTAGCTTCTTCAGAATAATAGACACTGTCTCAACTTCGGGGATCGTGCTTATGCATGGAGCTGTATAGCATGGACGATAGGAGTGGAGTCAGTTGTCCCCATAGACACGCTGTTAAATTACTAGCCCCAGAATGTATGCCCTCGGAATGTGTGCAGGAAGACGCGCCTCCACATTTTGAAACCGAAGTGGATACTCTCGTCGTGGAGGCACAGGAGCGTAAGGAAGCGCGTTATCAGAAACTCAATGCTATCAGAACAGCAAGTATCTGAGCAGATAGGAGACTAGAATGAAGGAGTGAAGTCAAGATCCTTTTCCTAGACCTTTGCCGCTATAGATGCCACAGCTTCCTCGTTGGCAAAGTTGGATACGGATGAAGCGATGGCGCAGTTGCAGGAACTTTAGAACGCATGCAGTCGGCAGCTGGAATTATACAGACACTTCGAATACGCTTGCCCCTCGACCCGAGCTGAATGGAATTGGAGGCAAACCGCAACTAACCAAAGTACGGCTGTAGTAACTTTGAGCTTGTTTTAAACTGTTAGTCATACACTTAGAGATGTAAGATCCTCTTCCCAGAGATTCGGTTTATAGCGTGAAAGATAAAGAAACAAAGGAACGAGGTCAAGATTTACATGAGGAAATCAAAAGGATGAGAGAAGGGCATTCAGAATAATTAGGCTTCGAATTATCATTTCAAGTAAAGCTTTATTATGAATCGTTCGCAGCAAGACTCGCAAAGCTCGTGTTCTCGCTCGCTTCCAGAGTTTTAATCTGTTCAGTGTCGATATTTTTCAATTCAAGGTTATTGTTTGTCGAGCAAAACTATATGCTTATTTCATATTGAAAACAATTTATGTCGACGAGGAAATACTCAAGAATGGTCCGTATATGATACCTCAGTCCATTGTATTCTATTACAAAGCACAGCTTACTATCCTGTTTTGATTATTATTTATTATTAATGTTGTTATCGTCAGTTATTACTGGTTAAGCTTTATGACTAATATGAACCATCTTATCGCAAAAAAGTGGTTATTTCAGGAGGAAAATCTTCGTCCTTCGTAGATATGATATACACACGTGAGCAGCAGCATTTATAACTCCCGTTGAAAGGTATGCATGTCACATCTGATGTTGTTACATGTGCAGTAAGTAGTACAGCAGGTTTAGTTTTTTTAGGATTATGCATGAGGCTGATTGCTCGGAATTATTGGAAGTATACGAGATATCAACAAGTCACACAAGTGCACTTCATCTCGATTCTAGCAATTGCTCATCCGTCATTTCGTTGAAGTTGTAATAACTCTAGTAATATACCGTGATTGTTATCTCGTATGTACATCGTTTTCCTATATCAAGGGACATCCATCTCAGTTTCAGCATCGCTGCAATATCTTCGATGATGAAAATGTGATATTTCTAAAAGTATACCGTTGTTTTTATCTCATATGTACCTCTGATCAACAGGACACACACTTTTCTCACTTTCAGTAGTTGCTCATTCGTCATTCGATTAACATGTGATAACTCTAGAAACATACCGTTATTGTTATCTTGTATTTCTATATCAATAGATTATATTACTGTCGGCAATTTCATGAATGAATTAGGCCCTTCCAAATGGCTTACTATCTCTACCCAAACTGTTTGCGCTACTTTAATATGAAATGAAGCAGTATTCACTCTGTACACAGTTCATTCATTCGTATAGCACTACGGTTTATTCATTCGCACATCACCCAAAGCACATATCTCTTGAATGATCGAATACTTGAAAGCAAAACGCGAAAGTGAAAAGCTAAATCAGTCTCGAAAGCTTTAGTTGATTCGCCGTGATTTATGTGTTGCGCGGGAGATCGCGTGTGTGCAGCCGGCGACAGTACATTTTATTTCACGTCGCAGAACCCTTCAAGGAATAGATGCGATCCCACGTACGGTAAGCTACAGGAGAGCAAACAACGAACACCCTAAGCCCTCCCCCCCCCCCCCCCCCCAAGGAGCCGTAAAAACAAAATCTGGGTGCACACAAACACAAGAAATCTCATGATAACAGTGTCGAAATTGCCTGGATAACGCGCGTATGTGTTGTGGTTGCCACTGCCTCGAGCATTTTTGAAGTTTTGGGAATAGAAGAATAGTATAGATCTCGGTCAGGCGTTTTTTATTGCCGATCGGACCTACACCATACTTTTCGCTCAAAACGCTAGCATTCCGTTGAGAAGATTCGAAACGCTAGGTTGATAGCTATATTTTCTTCTCGTCCAAAACGCTCGAATGTATACGAGAACTGTGAACGCAGCTCAACCCTAGTTCTGTCTCATCAAAAAGAATCTGTTTAGGTTTTAAAGACAACACGACTGCATCGGAATGGAAAACTTTTCGCCTTCCACATTAATGAACGAATGTTGATGCACGATGTACAACTTTTTCTCCTCATTTCAGCATTACTCCTAGATTGGCTTGAGTAGTTCGGGTTTTAACTACGAGCTCATTCTTGAAGCTGTGAATAGGGCTGACTATGGAACATGTACTATATTTTGTTCAAAAACTATGCTTGTCATCATTCCTCGTATCGCACGAAACCAACAGGAAACAAGCAGGCAGTGGTAACCACACGACAAGGAGGCTATACTGTTATCAGAACCATCAGAACCACATATAAGAATGTGGGTAATTAAACCACTACTCGAACATGGAAAGAAGCAGGGCATTTATCAGGGGGTAAGTGCGGGAATTGTGAGGGAGAAAACACACTATATCGCCGTCTGTGACGACGATCTCACTCTATCCTTCTGTCTCCACGTCTGGGGCTAGAATCTCTCCTAGCGTGAGCCCTCAAAGACACATTCATATCATGTGTCCGCCTCATGCTAGTATTCAAACGGTACGATCACACATAGTTTGGGTGTGCGTGACTATCAGCCCCCCAGCTGTCGAAGCGTAGCGGTTTCCCCGTCCTAACATGCGCAGGAATGGAGATACAGGACCGTGAAACACGCTAATTCCTCCATGCTCCGCCCACCGTTTATGCTAACAGCCGTTCCGCGCGGCGCGTGTCGCGCGCAGCTCTCTTGGCTTTTTGCCAAGTCCTGTAATTGCGCTTTGGAATACAAGTAAAACGCAATTTCCTGATGCGGATAACATTTTAGGTGCTGCAAAATAAGAACCGAAGATGATGACGAGGGCCAGAACTCAAGAGCAACTGTGCTGCTTCTGCAATATCCCTCGGAGGCCGCGCATTCCCACAAAACATGAAAATAAAAACGGCCTAAGCGTCCCACTCGTTAGTTTAAAGTATTTCTATGGCTTTGGAGCCGAATTCGCGCCGGATCGCAGAAATTACACGCGATTTCAATTAATTTGCGTTTCCTTAAATTTTTCATTTTTGTTTTATTTACATCTACATTCGTTGTTCTTCATTTCACATCTTCATCACCTCTATTCGGACTTTGAAGCATGAGCAACACCTCAAATTTTATTCGCATCAGAGAATCGCGTTTTGCTTCTATTAAAGACAGTCCTCGCGCTCAAGTGGCACATGGTCGTCTTTCCTTGTGCAGGTAGTTCAGCCCCCAAGCTAGATACTGTCCCACTCTCGCGACCAGGGCACGCCATCGCGTTGTGATCATTTCCCGCTAGATACGACCCCCCAAAATAAGGGTCTTAATACGACCCCCCCCTGTCACGAGGGTACAAATGAAAAGAAGCGCAAAAGGGACGAAGAAAATGACAATAAAGAGAACTGGGCGCTATTGAACTATTCCTATGCCGAAAGCGCTATTGAACTATTCCTATGCCGAAAACTCAAAAAAATCAATGCTGAAACTTTGTCTATCGATGTTATTCGATGTCCTGATCACGAGTGTGACATCATTTTCCGTACCTGCGCTATTGGGCACTCTGCTGAGGCTCTGAGAAAAAGGGGAGTTTCCCTCAGGCCAGGCTCAGTCTAGCAAAGCGCAGATGACTATAGTGTCCTACGTTAGAGCTGGCGTCAAGAATAAATATCATATTCGTAAACAGGATGTCAAATAACCCCCGTATACAAGTTTTCATCGATTTCGGTGATTTAGGGTATTTTGGCCCCGGCGCCTGTGGCGCGGCGCCAAAGTATTCTGATGAGTCACTCTGCGTGCCTCCCAGCAGTCTCCGGTGTGGTACATGGCCTCGAGAAGGAGACTCAGAGAAAAAAAACGGATTAGTTGTCCTGGGACGCTTTCCGAGCTGTTGTTCTTGAGCAGGAAGAATGTGCTGGTGTTTAATTCCTACAGCTTATAGCACACTGTTAGCATTAATTTGTTCATCTTCCCCTAGGCACTTAGGAGCCTCGGGGAAACACGAATAAAACTCTTCGTTCGATTAAGAGGCAAAGTGCCACCTCTTATTGTTTTAAACAAGAAGCCCATAATTTTTTTAACTTTTTCGCTCTTAGAATGAGCAGGGACTTTTTTCCTTGAGCTGTGAATATTCCACTCATTTCAGAAGTGATATCTATCACCCAGAATGGGTGGGTCTCTTGTATCTTGTATTCTAGGCTTCTTAGGTATCCTAGGTTTTCATCGTCCGCTATAAAAGAAAACTCTCGCATGCTGTGCTGTGAAAACTTTGGCGCCGCGCCATAGGCGCCGGGACCAAAATACCCTAAATCACCGAAATCGATGAAAACTTGTATACGGGGGTTATTTGACATCCTGTTTACGAATATGTTATTTATTCTTGACGCCAACTCTAACGCAGGACACTATAGGTCATCTGCGCTTTGCTAAGACTGAGCCTGGCCTGAGGGAAATCTTCCCTTTTTCTCAGTTTCAGCCTCAGCAGAGTGCCAAATAGCGCAAGGTACGGAAAATGATGTCACACTCGTGATCAGGACATCGATAGACAAAGTTTCAGCATTGATTTTTTTGAGTTTTCGGCATAGGAATAGTTCAATAGCGCTTTTTGGCATAGGAATAGTTCAATAGCGCCCAGTTCTCTTTATTGTCATTTTCTTCGTCCCTTTTGCGCTTCTTTTCATTTGTACCCTCGTGACAGGGGGGTCGTATTAAGACCCTTATTTGGGGGGTCGTATTTAGCGGGAAATGATCACAACGCGATGGCGTGCCCTGGTCGCGAGAGTGGGACAGTATCTAGCTTGGGGGCTGAACTACCTGCACAAGGAAAGACGACCATGTGCCACTTGAGCGCGAGGACTGTCTTTAATAGAAGCAAAACGCGATTCTCCTGATGCGAATAACATTTGAGGTGTTGCTCATGCTTCAAAGTCCGAATAGAAGGTGATGAAGATGAGAAATGAAGAACAACGAATGTAGATGTAAATAAAACAAAAATGAAAAATTAAGGAAACGCAAATTAATTAAATCGCGTGTAATTTCTGCGATCCGGCGCGAATCCGGCTCTAAAGCCATAGAAATACTTTAAACTAACGAGTGGGACGCTTAGGCCGTTTTTATTTTCATGTTTTGTGGGAATGCGCGGCCTCCGAGGGATATTGCAGAAGCAGCACAGTTGCTCTTGAGTTCTGGCCCTCGTCATCATCTTCGGTTCTTATTTTGCAGCACCTAAAATGTTATCCGCATCAGGAAATTGCGTTTTACTTGTATTCCAAAGCGCAATTACAGGACTTGGCAAAAAGCCAAGAGAGCTGCGCGCGACACGCGCCGCGCGGAACGGCTGTTAGCATAAACGGTGGGCGGAGCATGGAGGAATTAGCGTGTTTCACGGTCCTGTATCTCCATTCCTGCGCATGTTAGGACGGGGAAACCGCTACGCTTCGACAGCTGGGGGCTGATAGTCACACACACCCAAACTATGTGTGATCGTACCGTTTGAATACTAGCATGAGGCGGACACATGATATGAATGTGTCTTTAAGGGCTCACGCTAGGAGAGATTCTAGCCCCAGACGTGGAGACAGAAGGATAGAGTGAGATCGTCGTCACAGACGGCGATATAGTGTGTTTTCTCCCTCACAATTCCCGCACTTACCCCCTGATAAATGCCCTGCTTCTTTCCATGTTCGAGTAGTGGTTTCAATTATCCACATTCTTATATGTGGTTCTGATGGTTCTGATGACAGTATAGCCTCCTTGTCGTGTGGTTACCACTGCCTGCTTGCTTCCTGTTGGTTTCGTGCGATACGAGGAATGATGACAAGCATAGTTTTTGAACAAAATACAGTACGAGTTCCATAGTCAGCCCTATTCACAGCTTCAAGAATAAGCTCGTAGTTAAAACCTGAACTACTCAAGGCATCTAGGAGTAATGCTGAAATGAGGAGAAAAAGTTGTGCATAGTGCAACAACATTCGTTCACTAATCTGGAAGGCGAAAAGTTTTCCATTCCGATGCAGTCGTGTTGTCTTCAAAACCTAAACAGATTCTTTTTGATGAGACAGAACTAGGGTTGAGCTGCGTTCACAGTTCTCGTATACATTCGAGCGTTTTGGACGAGAAGAAAATATAGCTATCAACCTAGCGTTTCGAATCTTCTCAACGGAATGCTAGCGTTTTGAGCGAAAAGTATGGTGTAGGTCCGATCGGCAATAAAAAACGCCTGACCGAGATCTATACTATTCTTCTATTCCCAAAACTTCAAAAATGCTCGAGGCAGTGGCAACCACAACACATACGCGCGTTATCCAGGCAATTTCGACGCTGTTGTCATGAGATGCTGTGTTTGGTGTGCACCCAGATTTGTTTTTTACGGCTCCTTTGGGGGGGGGGGGGAAGGGGGGTAGGGTGTTTGGTTGTTTGCCTCTACCGTACTGTGGGATCGCATCTATTCCTTGAAGGGTTCTGCGACGTGAAATAAAATGTACTGTCGCCGGCTGCACACACGCGCAATCTCCCGCGCAACACATAAATCACGGCGAATCAACTAAAGCTTTCGAGACTGATTTAGCTTTTCACTTTCGCGTTTTGCTTTCGAAAGTATTCGATCATTCAAGAGATATGTGCTTTGGGTGATGTGCGAATGAATAAACCGTAGTGCTATACGAATGAATGAACTGTGTACAGAGTGAATACTGCTTCATTTCATATTAAAGTAGCGCAAACAGTTTGGGTAGAGATAGTAAGCCATTTGGAAGGGCCTAATTCATTCATGAAATTGCCGACAGTAATATAATCTATTGATATAGAAATACAAGATAACAATAACGGTATGTTTCTAGAGTTATCACATGTTAATCGAATGACGAATGAGCAACTACTGAAAGTGAGAAAAGTGTGTGTCCTGTTGATCAGAGGTACATATGAGATAAAAACAACGGTATACTTTTAGAAATATCACATTTCATCGAAATGATGAATGAGCGATGCTGAAACTGAGATGGATGTCCCTTGATATAGGAAAACGATGTACATACGAGATAACAATCACGGTATATTACTAGAGTTATTACAACTTCAACGAAATGACGGATGAGCAATTGCTAGAATTGAGATGAAGTGCACTTGTGTGACTTGTTGATATCTCGTATACTTCCAATAATTCCGAGCAATCAGCCTCATGCATAATCCTAAAAAAACTAAACCTGCTGTACTACTTACTGCACATGTAACAACATCAGATGTGACATGCATACCTTTCAACGGGAGTTATAAATGCTGCTGCTCACGTGTGTATATCATATCTACGAAGGACGAAGATTTTCCTTCTGAAATAACCACTTTTTTGCGATAAGATGGTTCATATTAGTCATAAAGCTTAACCAGTAATAACTGACGATAACAACATTAATAATAAATAATAATCAAAACAGGATAGTAAGCTGTGCTTTGTAATAGAATACAATGGACTGAGGTATCATATACGGACCATTCTTGAGTATTTCCTCGTCGACATAAATTGTTTTCAATATGAAATAAGCATATAGTTTTGCTCGACAAACAATAACCTTGAATTGAAAAATATCGACACTGAACAGATTAAAACTCTGGAAGCGAGCGAGAACACGAGCTTTGCGAGTCTTGCTGCGAACGATTCATAATAAAGCTTTACTTGAAATGATAATTCGAAGCCTAATTATTCTGAATGCCCTTCTCTCATCCTTTTGACTTCCTCATGTAAATCTTGCCCTCGTCTCTTTATTTTCTTTATCTTTCCACGCTATAAACGAATCTCTTGAAGAAACCTTTACACCTCTAAGTTATTGTCTAACAGTAACAAACTAAACGTTACCTGGTACAGCTGTACTTTGGTTAGTTGCGGTTTGCCTCCAATTCCATTCAGCTCGGGTCGAGGGGCAAGCGTATTCGAAGTGTCTGTATAATTCCAGCTGCCGACTGCATGCGTTCTAAAGTTCCTGCAACTGCGCCATCGCTTCATCCGTATCCAACTTTGCCAACGAGGAAGCTGTGGCATCTATAGCGGCAAAGGTCTAGAAAAAGGATCTTGACTTTACTCCTTCATTCTGGTCTCCTATCTGCTCAGATACTTGCTGTTCTGATAGCATTGAGTTTCTGATAACGCGCTTCCTTACGCTCCTGTGCCTCCACGACGAGAGTATCCACTTCGGCTTCAAAATGTGGAGGCGCGTCTTCCTGCACACATTCCGAGGGCATACATTCTGGGGCTAGTAATTTAACAGCGTGTCTATGGGGACAACTGACTCCACTCCTATCGTCCATGCATATACAGCTCCATGCATAAGCACGATCCCCGAAGTTGAGACAGTGTCTATTATTCTGAAGAAGCTAATTGTCACTCGGCATCAGCAGCTTAGTTTTCACATGAGAAATAGTGGAGTTACCGCTGGATCACAAGAGCAAGGGCCGTCGAATGATACTTCAAAGGTTTTTGTCCGCGCTCTCTTCAGCACGTGCCACCTGCCCTCCCCTGTAACGGTCACCAGTGAAGAATGATCACTATATAATTTCACAGCTACCTAAATAATTTCTTCGAGGTATTTGGCCATGGTCCTCTGGTTCATTCCGTGCAGATAAGCAAGAATATCTGCGAACCGCTTCATGAACTCGTCCAATTGCACAACCAGCAGTGAACGGCGGTGTGAATCATTCACAGTAGAACGCGAGGGCGCCTAAATTTTACGGTCTTTTGTGATATTGCACTTGGATGTTTTCCTCCCCAACCTCCACCAGTTCCTTGTTTTCCTTTCCCATGTCTGGCTTATGTGAAATCGACATAGATGCAGTCGAGTGTGTGCGTGCGGAAAAACTGCCTTGAACCCGTTATAAAAGCAAGGGGCCCCGTCCGTCACAATCCTTTTAGGAGCAAACGTGGGCATTATATGCCTGACTTCCAAAAACAGCCTCTCTACGTCTGCCGTGGTCATGGTGCCACTTGGTAAGAAAGCTAAAGTATTCTTTACAAGAACCACCCCTTTCCCAGAGTACTTTCGGATCCAGCCCGCATCAATGGTGTTATCACTGAATTGAAAAAACTGCTTGCAGTTTTTGGTGCTAATTTGCTACTTGTTCTCACCTAGCAGGAAACCTCTGCCACTAGAATCTTGAGGCAATTCGAAGCACCTGATACCATCATCAACGTTGTTCTCATCATGCCACATTTGCAAAGAAGTGACATCATCCTTCTGCCTCCATCCTGGTATCATATTGAACCTCTGCACTATATTGTAAAGGTCAGCCTCCACGATAAACGAAAGTTTCGAAGACTTGGTTGGATCTTGCTTGCGCAGCCGATTAATAATGAAATCCATGAAGTGCTCTGGAGCGGGTTCTATGGTAACAAACAGTACGAGATTCTTAAGACCCACACAATAACCTTCAAGCATGTTCTTGAAGTACATTCTTTGCTTATGAGTGAATCTCAGCAGAGCTGGGCTCAGTTCATGCCTTAGCCAAGGCACCCTCTTGCAACGATCGTCCCATCTGCATTGAAATTCACTGCCAGGTGACACGAACAATGGCGAACATATTTCCTAGCTGTGTTCTTTTTTCCGTCCGCGTAGTTGTCATTTTTTTCAAAGCCTCATGTATGAGCGCGGCTTTACACAACGCTGAACGGTTTCAGTCTTTACAAAGCTGATCAATCTCGGAATGTTGGCACGATAAATCGCTATACAGATGTAGGATTTATACGACTGGCTTAACAGAATTCCGTGACCTCGGACAGGCGCTCCGTGGCGCCTTTTCCAAGGAGGGTACCCCTATAACGCCCTATCGAGCAACAACATTCCGTCCCAAACGCCTTCCTCGCCCGCCCGCCCACAAACGGACGACCGTTCCTGACGCTCGTATTCATTCATTTGCTGAGCAAATTATGAAGCAAAGGGATTGGTATGAAGCGGCCGTGATGCTGTATGCATAATGCAACCGATCTTTGGTAGCGGTGATTGGTAAGATGCCTACGGGAAACTCGTCCGAAATCGATTTAGTCACTGAGAACGGAGGCTTTTTCTTCGCAGGATTTTGACCGTTTCACTCCGTTCTTTCGCCATTTCCCCACTACATAGCGCCCTACTAGCATTTTAGGCCGAGTGGGAAACCATCGTGCCAACTGCCTTTAACGCCTTCCATACACAGAGGAAAGCAGACTCTGCAGAACGCACGGACTCTGCGGAAAAGGAAGGTATAAGTGTCGATTTGAAAAATCCGCAGAATCCGCATCTTCCGTGATATCTGAAAACTGCATAGAGAACGTAGTGATCAATCGAGTTCTATCAAGTGTTCCGCAGCAGTTTCGTTTCGATTTTCGATTCCGCGTGTTCTGCGGATCCCTGGGAATTTTTGTGTATCAACGCGATCTCAACTAGACATTTCTAATATCATTGAAAAATCCTTCCAGTCTTTGAAACTCAAAATCCGCTGACGCGATATATCAACAAATCTGAACAAACTAACAACAGAAATAGATAGATATCACGAGGACAGAGTAGGTTGTGAAACAATATAAGACTGATGTCAGCAGGACAAAGCAGGTTGTTGCAGAACAGATTACTCGAAGAACAGCTTTCGGATAATAAAATAAAAGCAAAACTCAGCAGTGAAAAGCTAAATCAGTCTCGGAAGTCTTACTATTAGTTGATCGCCATGATTTATGTGTAGCGCGTGTGACTGAGCGTGATGTGTGCAGCCGGCGACAGTACATTTTATTCCACGTCGCAGAACCCTCCAGGGAATAGATGCGATCGTATTGTGAGTTTGTTGTACTACTCACATCATTCTTCTGGCGCTAACGTAGTTGGGAGCCCCGCGGGCGAGCGAGGACTCATCTGCTCTTCTGCTCCCTCCTCAGCAAAATAGAAGTAGTTTCGTGGGTGCTAACGTATTTGGGGGGGGGGGGGGCACGCGGCTCGCGGCGAGTGATGACTCATCGGCTCTTCACTCATTGACATACTTAGAGCGCTAATCTAGCAGCAAAATTAGAATAAAACAAACAAGATTCACCGAATACTTGCTGAGAAATCCCACAGAAGCTGAGAACAACAAATGTTTGATCTTTTGTAGTCAAGAATAACGGTCAACATCAAAAAGGCAACAATCGTTGGTAGTTTAGGCAAAATCTTCCATCCTACAACTGTTTCTTCGCACTTTTCAGCGTTAACTGCTTAAACTTTCAAAGGCGAGTTAGTTCAAGTAATGACCCTCTGGCCTCTTCTATATTATCCCGATAATGACTTCTTTATCACTTGGAAAGCCCTGTGGTCAAACAACACCTCAACGAGAGGTCATGACTAGATACTTAAGCTAACAGGTAGAAAGCAAACACGTGAGTTGTTGTTGAGCAAGTTCCTTGTGTTGTCATGTATTCAAGTACTAATCCTTCATTATTATATTCTGCCGATTCCTGCTCTTATGTGGATGCAGCCGTTCCGTTTTCAGGGTTTCCTCAGACGTCGTCTCCCACACCTTTGTATCTAGCACCGCCCCACAATTTTTATCCGGTACCAGCACCTTCGTATGACGTAGGGCTTGTATCACCATGCACATTTCCTCCCGCACTAGCACCTTCTCACTTCGTCGATCAGGAATTATACTGCGTTACGCCAGCAGTGGGAACCATTAACGAGACAAGTATTATTTTCAGATTCAACGAGCTTTATCAGCAGGGAGTATCCAGTGCCCAAATAGAGTCCTACTGCAAAAAGATGTCCCAATTTGTTACGAACAAAACTATATGACACATTTTTATTCGATTTGCTTACTTGTTTTTGTTTGAATAGTTGTAATAGTAATAATAAAATAATAATAAACTAATAAATAGCTGAAATATAAAGCAACCTTTTTACCCTCTCAAATTTTCGATGAATTCATGCCATGAATTTGGATAGCTTAATAACTTCTCCTCTTACCGAGGCCAACCGCAGTTAGCGCGACGTGGCTCGGCTTAATGAGGTCGCTTCGCACCTCGTTAATTATGCCTCGAATCGTAGGTGCGACAAGTCATTAACGAGGGGTCAACCGTCCCATTTTCCACCTACCCCGCGGCGAGCGATGACTCATCGGCTCTTCACTCATCGGCATACTTGAAGCGCGAATCTAGCAGCCAAATTAGAATAAAACAAACAAGATTCACCGGGAACTTGCTGAGAAATCCCACAGAAGCTGAAAACAAATGTTTGATCTTTTGTAGTCAACAATAACAGTCAACAACAAACAGGCAACAATCTTTTGTAGTTTAGGATACTCGAAATCCCTGAGCATCGGGTGGCGTGGCCCACATTTTTCAACTCTAAACTGGAGTTCTATGCTTGCTGCATGAGCTTTTCCATGCTGACAACAATTGGTTTCGTGTCTCTGTCCATCACAGAACAAGATGACAGTTGTCCCAGACTGGAATATTCCACGAGTAACCAGTTCCGTGCCATGTTCAAATGCCACGCCTACTCTGACTCAGGGATAAGGAGTGTAAGAACCTTCCAGCCTTCTTTGCACTTTTCAGCGTTAACTGTTTTAACTTTTAGATATAGCTAGGACGGTGTTATATTCATGTCCTAAACAAGAAATTACTTCTGTTGAGCTGAGGAGGGAGCAGAAGAGCCGATGAGTCATCGCACGCCGCGAGCCGCGTACCCCCCCCCCCAAACGTTCTACGTTAGTGCCGATTTCTTTCCTACAAGATGATGAAAATCATTTCTAGAATACAAGTCACAAGAGTTCAACCTCATTCTGAATGATAAATATCAAATATCAATATGAAACATTCAAAACTCAAGAAACAAAGTTCCTACTCATTCTAAGAGCCATACCAACAATTCTTCCTCCTCAAGACCAACAGCTTGCAAGGCTCCATTCTCGTGTTCCAGTGCAACTCTGCGCTCCAATCGCAACTCGGTATACGGTTGCTACGATCCCCGGACCTGCCAAATCTCCCTTGTTACAAAGGATACTTCGGTCGAGGGGCCTTCTTTCTCTTCCCTTTTGTTCCACCTTCCTTCCTTTCCCCCTCCTTTGCCTTCTCCCTCAACTGCTGAGCCAGTAGATGCCAAATAAATACTTCTGGACGCTCGCAGGGAGAGCATGTCCGGATCGTGTTCCTCCTTTCGTGTGATAGTGCTATGACACACGAAAGAACTCGTGATCTCGGGAACCTTATCTTCCTAAAGCCTTTTTAACTGGTGACCTATCACATGTCGCAGTTGAGGTACTTGACCGCAAAGGATGATCGTTACTTCGCCTGTTTTTTCTCACACCACACAAACGTATAGAATTGTTGCGCCAGAAAAGTTCTACGGATGATAACGAAACACGCGTTCAAGAGCAGTGCTGAGTGAAGAGTATCGTGGGAACGCATGCAATGACGTCACAATCGATATGTGGGTGCTGGGAGTGCAGGCGTTGGGTCTCCCGTGACTTCTACTTCCGTGCGTCTTACACGTTTAGCTCACTCGTTTTCTTCATTTCCCTATCTCTGCATTTTGTTAATGTCATGTTTTTTCATGTTGCCTGCTACTTAGTCTGGACACGCTAATGCACTTTTTCCCCTTCCACGATCTAGCCTTTCTTGTGTCTGCTTCTGTCGACTCGTCCCTATTTGCTTGGATGGTGCGACACCTCATTTTTAGAAGCCCAGTGCCATTCTTCGGTTGGCCTCCAAAACGTCAAGGAAATTTCGGGATGGAACTTCCATAGTGGGGGAACTTGATGACAGAGTCCATCTTGCCGAACAGTAAGCGGTTGTGACGCGGCTGTAGCTGGGGGTTCCACAGGAACGATTGTTCAGTAGGGAGCAAACGACTCACAGTAGTGTTCAGGTGTAAAGTAGGGTGCTATACGTAATGCGCTTGCGGACCCACACCGACCGTCTCAGGGCACTTGTCAACCGGGAAGCCTCTCCTCTCTTTCATTTTTTCTTCCTCCTTCCTTCTTTTCCTTCCTTCCTTCTCTGATCCCTCCTCCTTTACCTTCTCCCTCCAACTACTGGACTGGTAGATGCCTCGTGAAAATACCCCTGGACCCTCGCAGTGAGAGCACATCTGGTTGATAACAGTTTGTGATCCGGTGTATGTTTACTAGCTATCGCAGAATTCTCAAATTATCCCTGTTCATGACGAGTAACCTGTGTTAGTTTTTTGTTATTAGCTCTTGGACTTGGTTTTACTCACATGATATGAGCCAGTATGAAATGAATGGTGCCCCTCTTCTGATTATAACGTTCCGTAAAACCATTTCTGTAACAACTCTCGTACTTGTCGCGTTTTTTCTCCTCATCTGTTGCAATGTCGATCTATCCACTAGAGTTTTGAAGCTCCACCTTCATTACTTTTTTACATTACAAATAATTGTTGAGTCATATGAGAAGGAATGAAGCGCAGGCCGAACCACAGAAAAACCTGACAGGTATTAGTTTGGCGGGGAGTTCTGTCATACATTTTTGAACTCAATACTTGGCCATTACCTGAAGAGGGGTAATCGGTAATGTGAGCATGTTATACACCAAAGAATGCTCTTTCTATCAGTACAGCTCGCTTGAC